ACACACACACACACACACACACACACACACACACACACACACACACACACACACACACACACTAATATATATGGAGAAGCTCCTCCTCGGCTCCAGATCCAGGAAACCTGATACCTTTAAAAGCCAATAAAAGCATAATGGAATCTAGAAACCGGAGCATCTCAGTCCATCATATTACAGCGTGAGGTGAAGCTGAAACGCTAGCTGTACCTCCTGAAAATGAAATTGACTGAAAGCTGTTTGGACCTCGGACAGACCGAGGATGATCAGAAGGATGAGAGCGAGTGTGTGAGTGTTTCACGCTTCAAATGCAGTGTGTGTGAGACAGGAAACTGAGGCCTGGTGATGTCAAAGTGGTGAAAAAATACTGAAAAGACGTCTCGGCGCAAGAATAGTGCAAAAGCATGTGAGTCCTGTGTTTTTACAATGAGGGCTGTTGCTATGGGCAACCTTTGCCTTGCACAGGAATTCCCATCTCCCCCGTGAGAAGCTACCAAACACACACACACCTACTATGTCTCTCTATCCTTATGGGGACTTCCCATTGACTTCTATTCATTTTTTTATTTTATGTCCTAACCCTGACCATYTAGCTCACTGTTATTAGATTTAGCTCATTTTTACTAAATGTTAAAGWTGATTGTTGAAGTTGACGTTTAGTATTGAATTAAAATTTTTTGCAGAGTTAGAACCAGAGTTGTAAAGTAACTAAGTACAAATACTTTGTTACTGTACTTAAAGGGCCAATATTATGTGTTTCTCAGGCATATATTTAAATACTATACCATAATAAAGTATCTATGTTACCTTTAGTTGTTATTACAATACAACAGACAGCGTTTAGTTTTTTTTTTTTTTTTTTTTTTTACTTTAAGGAATTTTGTTTGGGGTTAGAACCAGAGTTGTAAAGTAACTAAGTGCAAATACTTTGTTACTGTACTTAAGTGGAATTTTTGGGTATCTGTGCTTTACTTGAGTAATTATTTTTCAGTCTACTTTTTACTTCTACTTCTTACATTTTGACACAGTTATCTGTACTTTCTACTCCTTACATTTTTTAAAAAAAGGCAAGAAGTAGAAAGTTGTTACTTTTATTTCATTTTTGCTTGTTTTCATTCCAGCTTRTTATTGTAAACAAAAAAATGCTATCCATATAAACTGTGCCTCCTGGAGTGAATTTAATTGTGGTTGAATGAGAAGTATAAATATATAAAATTCTGATAACGTATTAGTTTGTACACAAACAAATCATATCACACTCCAGCAGGACATAATCATTAAAATAAAAGTACTGTACTTAAGAAGTATTTGTATTTCATGAATTATATTATTGTATTTGGCCGCAGCCCTCGGATAGATTTCCATTTTGGGGAAAAGGTTTGGGCAGCCTTGACTAGCGCATCTCAAATTTAACATAAATTAATAATTTTAATACAACTGTCATTTCTGCATTTATGGGGACGTCACCTTCTAATAAATGTCATGGCAAATCTTAACTGCTCATTTCAAATCAATACTTTTACTTTTAGCACAAAAATATCAGATACTTTAAGACTTTTACTCAAGTAATATTCCTAAAGAAGATTTTAACTTTTACCAAAGTAATTTTTTGGTAAGATACTTGTACTCAAGGATCACTTTGTGGTACTTTATACAACACTGGTTAGAACTTGAAATCACTCAGTGAGTTGGATCTATTCTTACAATAAAAAGACTTGGAATATTCCTACAGATTTATACTTACTTGCATAGGTAGGTTGTTCGCCATGGTGAAGCTGGGCATGGGCGGCAGCGCACTGTAGGTGTTGGTGAGTGCAGAGTCAGGTCTGGCCAGCATTGACCCCGAGGTGAAAGACACTGTGAAAGAAAGACCAACATAATAATCATTATTGCGTTTGAAAGCACAGAAACTCTCTCCTGTGTGAGAGCTCATCTCATTAGCAGTTCAGCAGCGCGCGCGGGGAGGGTGACACCTTATCTGACTGGATGATATAGAGGCCTGGACACATACTGTACACTGTGTGTCTCAGGTGATTGACGTGTGAGCGTGAGCTTYGGCTCTGACGGTGTGCCCTCGTGCCTGATGTGGTAATTACTCAGAGAGTCGGTCGGGAAGTTTTGCTCAATCATCCATTAAAAACAGAGACGTACTGGTGCTTCTTCAGCCAGAGCAGAGAGGAAAACTACCAAGGAGCTACTGAGGCCTCATCTCTTTCTTTTAGATGAATCTGCAGGAGTGAGAATGTGTAGGACTATCACATAACACAATCCGGTCAGATTTCACGTAAATTGTTTTACACAGAGAGTTTAATGTGCACCAGCTGTGCAAGATTTCTGTTAGAATAAATAAATCAAATGTTTTATTGATTAAAAAAATCTTATGCTAATTTGGATGAATTTGGATTTGAAAACAGATTAAACGGCTTTGGCTAAATGTGTGGCTCTACAGCAGAACCAGCACTTACTGTGTGAACAATCCTCTAATTTTAAATTAAAGGATTATTCACTCAGTGAGCACTGCTTCTGGCTGGTCACCTTATTTTCAAATGTTTATTTTCAAAAGTGTAAGTTAGTGAGTTAAAATGTTATTATTGAATGARCTAAAAATGTATCAGACTATTCCCTTATAAATAACAGGTTTTGGTTTAATTGGTATTTTTACAGTAGTTAAGCATCTGTTGTACTAAAACCTACCAAATGTATAGAAAAATCTTTAACTTCTTGAAAATCTTAAATGCATGACTTAGAAACTTTAATGATATAAATATTTAAATTTATTAACATTGCTAAATTACCTCTAAAGAATTGATATTTTTTAATTTATCTAATAATTTGATTTCATTGTAAACAACTTTACCAACAATTTGTCAAAGTGACATAGAAGAATGAACTGAATTTATTTTATTTATTTATTCATTCATTCATTCGGACTCATTTAGATCGACAAATCTATGTTACAAGTGTAAGATGTAAATATTTGTCAGCTTTTCTGTTTGATAAAATGCTGCAGAGCCAGAACCAGATGTGTCCTGTAGCCTCCCCCTGGCTGCGTAAGGTGGAGGCCCCTACCCGGTGTGGTGGGCTGTGGGATGGCCTGGTAAACGCTGGTGCTGAAGCTGCTGCTGATGGGGATGTGGCTGGAGGAGTTGTTGGCCTGCCGACGCTGGTTCCGCAGCTTCTCCTCTCGCCTCCACTTTGCTCTTCTGTTTGAGAACCATACCTTTTATGTAAAAAATAAAATAAAATAAGGAGAAGAAGACGAAGAAGAAATGACCTCGTTATGATTTTACTCCCTTAAAGACCATAAATTCATCTTATATTTTGTACACTTTCAGAAATGAATAATAAAGTAAATGCGGCTACTTACTTGTATTCTTGCCTCGGGCAGGTCGATTTTTGCCGCTAGTCTTTCCCGCGCGAAAACATCTGGATAATGAGTTCTTTCAAATTCTGTAAGGCCAGCACAACTATTAGAATATATATATA